TTATAATATAAAATAATAAAATAGCGATAACAGATTCTTACGCCATAAAATAAATAAAAATAAGAATAATAATGTATTACTAGCAAGATGAAATTAAGGCTTCTTTTCATTTGAAAATTAATTTCTATTTTTTAAAACTCTACAATTATATAATTTTTTTATAAAAATTATCATTGAGGTGCCCTCTTTCTATTTTTTTATTTTATTTTTAAATATTTTATTCATTTAAAATATCGTATTTAATATATTTTCCATACAAAATATTATATTCAAATAAGTATTCTACACTGCCCCACTAGGATTGATAGTTTTAATTTGGGTTCAACGTTTTAGATGATATAATTTTGATCATGTTTTCGTTTTATTCTTTTTTATTTAAAATAATTTTATAAATTGGATTTTAAAGATAAATAGAGATGAGTACAATAATTTTGCAATATTACAAATTTAAAATAATAAAAATATACTGAAACGAAAATAATAAGTATATATTCTGTCTAAATAAATATATATATATATATATATATATTTGTAAATCTCCAATAATAGGTTCCCTTTGGGGTTGCTTTCTCTCCAAATTAGTACAAACGTTATTTGGTCTGATTAATAATTTTTTTTTTACTATAATTAATTTATATATTGAGAAAAATTATGAATATTTTATTTTTATTTAATTATATAGCAGCAAATGTTGAACGCAATCAATAAATGCACAGGGAAAACGAGGGTTTGATGTCACGTCATTCAATATTTTATTTAGTAAATTAAATATTATTATTTCGAGGATTTAATAAATTAAATGGTCTTATAAATATGTCAAAGTATTGGTCTTTATAAAGATGCAGATTAATTTTATTGCTATTTTGTAACTATGCACAATTAAATTAGAAGTTACTATATTTTAATTTTAAATTTAAATAATCCAACATATCTATTAATATGGTGGGCTACCTTTGTATTTAAGTTTTAGTTTTCATTTAAATTTTAAAATACATTTATATATAAATGAATAATACTATCTATTATAATTTATATGTAATCGATAAAAATTAAATGTTTAAGAAAACAAGAGTTTAGGATACAGATTTATATAAAACAAATAAAATCTGTGGTTATAGTGGGGTTCATATTATTTTGTAAATAATAATAATAATGAAGAAAAAAAAAAAAGATTTATAGATTGTGTTATGGATTTTTATTTAAGCAATATGGGCATGTCGGTGCGAAGTGGCAAAAGAAATTTTATGGTTGGTTTTTGTTTTTTTAAAATATAAATTGATATTTTTAAATTTGTACGATTTTTTTTTTTATAGAAATATATTATTTATTAAAAAATATTTAAATAAAAAATCAAATCAAAACCAATTATAGGAGTTTGTTCTTTTTTGTGATTTAAAATTGAAATCAAAATTATTTATTCTAAAAAATTTTCGATAAGAATATAATATATTTTTTCACAAAATACTATTTAAATAAAATTAATTAAATCAATAATATATCCATTCCAAATCGATTTCAAACTACTGCCAGACAAACTAAACCCTATGTTGATGAATGATTTACCATAGGTTATTACACAATATTTCCTCTATTTTGGACAAATGTACCTTTTGTTAAGATTTTGTATCAGATCAATAATTAATATTTTATTGATCAGTAAAGTATGTAAAATAATACTGACATTTTTGTTGTTTATACTTTATGTGGATATGTTATGGTATATTTGTAATTTATATAAAAATTATAATATTTTTATATTAATATAATTATTTTTACTATAATAAAAAAATATATTTTCTTTTAGTAAAACGTACTAAAATACTAAAAGAAAATACTTTCACTCGTGGGACCCGTATCTCCCATGGATTGAATTGAAGAAACAAAATTAAAGAAATATCGATAAAAAGAATGTAAATGAAACAAATAAAAATTGAAGGAAAACATATTACAAAAAAAATGCAATAAAAAATAAATAAAGAAAATAATAGTAATCAAAATCTTGTACTTTTTCAATGACCTTCTATGAATTTGCTAAGATATTTTTGCTTAGGTTTCTAAATTTCTTGAGTACTAATACAGTCTTTTTCTTCCTTTTTTTTTTTTTTTTTAAATTCTCTATCGAATTTAATAATTTGAAAATTAAATTCGATAAGACAAATAACACTAGGTGAATTATGTGTGACAGAAAAAATCTTTAAGGCTGTCGGAAGTTTAAATCTATGACTTTATGGTCACGAATCTACCCCCACACCACCAGACCATCTCTTATAAAAGTCGATATGAACTTTCCCTTGAACCTCGTAACAGCAGACAGGATCCTCGGTCCCGGATCAATATTCAGTCTCGGAGTGCCCACACACATCTGCGGGCACTCTAGGACCGGGTCAAAGCCCGAGACCGAGGATCCCATGCGTGGTAATAGCAATTCTGAACAAAAGGCATCTGGTAGTTGGAATGTGATTTTTTAAAAAATAGTTTTTCTATAGACTTGGCTTTCTTCTTGACTCTTTGGTAAAATATTTTTACAACACTTTTTGTCTTTACTAGTAAGTTAGTGATAACATATATTTTAATTGAATTTTATATGCTCTTTTCGTTGTACTTAAATTATTCATTTTAGTTTAGATACGATATTTTAGATATTGGGTAATTAGTAAGTAATAAAAATTGTATTAATAAAAATAATTATACTTTATTAAAAATAATTATAGATTAAGATTAAAATTATACATTATAAATTTTAAAATTTGATTAAAGTGTATAATCATATTTTTAACAAAAAATGACAAATTATGTAGAACAAATGAAAATAGAAATAGTGGACATGGTGTGTTTGTTTGGGGATTGGATTTTAAATACACTATTCATCCTATTTTTCCCCCCAAAAAACATCAAATCAAACACTTATTTTTCATTTTTATATTATACTAAAAATTAATTTTACATTTAAAATATCACATCAACGCCTATTTATATCACATCATACAATACTTCGGGTCTGTTTGGTTCAAATTAGGGGAGGGTAGGGGAGGGAGGCAAAGGGAGGGGAAATAATATTAAAATTGTAATAGTGTGTTTGGTTTATATGGAAGGGAAGAGAGACTAGACGAGAGAAAATAATATTTTTGTGTTTTGTTAAACAATGGAGGGAAGAGAAAATATAATAATTTTACTATTTTACTTCTGTGTTATATAAATAAAGAAAATAAAAGTATTTAATAAAATTTGATTAATTTATTTATAAAATGTGATACAAAATTTATTTGTCTAATATAATAAAAACAATAATTACATTATTACGCCTTGGAAGAATCAAATATTTTATACATTAGTTATTTATTAAATTTACCAATAAGATAAACAATAGTTTTATGTATAAATAATAACACTATAACAAAAATTATATAAACTAAGTATATTATAAAAATATTTTATATTTTATAATTTATAGTTTTTTAATATTAATTAAGCTATTTAATCTTAATCTTAATTCATAATTATTTTTACTACACAATAATCATTTTTACTACTATACTTATTAATTACTTACTAATTATATTTTATTTAAATTTTCGCATCTACAATAATGCTCATATTACACGTCACAAAAAAAGTAAAATATTAGTATTAATGATATAATTATATGTTAATTTATTATTTATTAAAAAAATAATTAAACTTAATTAAAATTTTTAATTAAAACTATTTCAAAATATATAATATAATTTTAATATATATTAATATTTATTTGATATAAATAAATATTAAAATTTTAAAAGATTTTATAAAATTTATAATAAAATATGTAAATGATATAATAGATAATTAAATAAAAAAAAAATTGATAAAAGCTCTCCCTTCCGAATTCCCCAAAATTCTTACCTCATGGCTTATATCATTTCAATATTTCTTTAAAAATTTTTAATGTGAGACCTATTTGTAATCTCATATTTCTATATTTTTTATACATTAAAATTTTTCTATCACTTATAAACCAATTCATGTTAACAGTATGAACAAATTTATTATATATAAATTTATTTTCTGTAAAATAACATATTTATATAGAATACTTTATTTAAGGATAATTTTTAAATTATTTAAAATATATTTTATATGAATTTTTAATCACATAAATTATTTTTCAAACCAAATTCCAAAGCCAAAACACACAAATCAAACTCTAAGTAAACAAGTCCTAAATTAAATATTACTATTTCTATCCTACATAAAATTGTTCATATTTTTTACTTTCGTCCATCTTACATAATTTGTCATTTTTTTAAAAAAATATAATTGTAAATTTTTTAATTATATTTTAAATTTTATAATTTACAATTTTCATAATTTTAATTATATTTTCTTAAAAAAAAAACTTAATTTATAATTATTTATATATATTGCGACTACTTTTGTTAATATATTTTTTAATTATTTGCTAATTATATCACTTATAAAATTTTGCATTTACAGAAAAAAATAAAAAAAATGAATAGGGTATGAAATAGTTATTTGAATTTAAAATTTATTATTTCTAAAATTCTATTACACATTAAAAGACAGCCTAATAAACCCAAAAAGTAAATCTTTCTTTTGAACCAGTTGGATTTGAATGGAGATATAGATGTGAAAAAAATGTATTTTTATAAATAATAGTAACACAATTTAAAAATAAAAAAATAAAATTGTTTTCTTTTATTTTTTCTTTTAATATTAAAAAAAAACTAATAAAAAAAGAGGCGCACACGTACACAAACAAAAACAAAAATTAACAATAAAACCATATTTAAATTGTAGAGTGGAAGTCTAAACAGCAGCAGCAATGGTGAATTAGGCAGCCACCTACCCAACCAAACTACCCCCCCACCCCCACCCCACCCCACCCCCCGAAACAGGACACAGACAGTATGAACAGAATCAAACTCCAAACTCTCCTGGAACTTCTCTTTCCATGCTTTTCACCACCATTTCCCATTCATTTCCCAACAAAAACCTCCAACTAAACTCTCTACACTATAATATATATATATATACACACCAAAATACAATTCAGCCTTCCCTTTTCTACATACATACATATGCTCACCTGGGTCCTCCCCCACCCTGCCTGCCTGCTTCTTTCCTTTCCTTTCACCGCCATACACAACATATTCCCCAGAATCTTCTCTTTCCCAATCCACCGCAAGTGGGTTGCTGTTTTCTTCCCTCTCTAAGATTCTTCGACCAGAAAAAAAGTGTGAGACTGAAGGAGAAGAAATCTCAATTATGTGTGTTCAAGATGCCGAGCAGGTGAGTGAGGGGATGGAAGACATGAGCCTCCCCGGTAGGGATGATAGTCATGAGCCTCTGCAGTCAACTCATCCTGATTTTCCGGGCGGCAAGGCTTTGGATTCTGTTGATTTGATGGGGAGGAAAGGGTTTCCTGTGAGTCCAATTGATTGGAATCGATTTGATTTGATTTGAATTGAATGAATTGAATTTTCCATGGTTTTTTATTAGGGTTATTTATTTTGTAATTTTGGTCTGTTGATTCGTAACTGTTGCTTAGAATTTCTTGCGCCTGATTTGGGGGAATGATTTTTGTTTGCAAATCCTTGGGTTTTGATTGACAATTCATGAGAATTGTTGCTGTTTTGTTGCTGAGTTCGTCTATTAGTTTCAGATTCAGTTGCGAATTCACGCGGATTTCGTGATGCTTACCTTCTTCAATCGTATACAAATCGAATTTGTCTGTTCCAGTAAAAATTTGGGGGTTCGTTAATTTCGAGCTGTGGAGTTTCATTATCAATTATTGAAGTGTTGCAGGGATTTGTCTTTTCTGAAGCTAACCATAGATGTTTGTTTATCTAATTAATGAAGCTTCACCAAGCTGTTCTGCAAAACTCAGATTTCATTACGACGTTTCCTTTTATGTTTAACTGATTCCATCAGTTATCTTCCCGATTGATCTTAGTTTCTCAAGTTTCATCGATTCCTCCATCTCTGCAGCTCGAGAGCATTTCTGAAGATTCTGCTGCCGCAGACAGACGCCAGATGATGAATAGCTTCGTCCCTGTCCTCAGGTCCGGGGAGTGTTCCGACATCGGAGGTCGATCAGACATGGAGGATACTCATATTTGCATCCCCGACTTGGCTATGAACTTCGGCTACACATCTCGTTGCGAAGAAGTCGTATCCTTCTACGGTGTAAGCTCTTTTGATCCTCTGTATTGAATTTCGAATTTAATTCGATTAGTTGATTGAAATTGTCGCAAATTCGACAATAGGTGTTTGATGGACACGGTGGGAAAGGCGCAGCGCAGTTTGTACGCGACCACTTGCCGAGGATCATTGTCGAGGACGCGTATTTTCCGGTGGAGCTCGAGAAGGCAGTGACGAGATCTTTCATGGAGGCTGATGCTGCATTCGCTCGATCTTGTTTACTCGAATCTACATTGTCGTCCGGCACGACGGCGTTGACCGCAATGATATTCGGACGGTAAAAATTGATTGCCAAATTCATCTTTGTTGTCAACGAGGAGTACTTTACGTTAAAGCTGTTAAATGAACCGAGTAGCTTGCGAGCCAAGCTTGGCTCGGCTCGTTTTAAGAGCTCGACTCGGTTCATTTATAGAAATAAACGAGCCGAGCTCGAGTTCAAAAATTATTTTTTTATATATGAGCCGAGCTGTTCGTGAGTAGCTCAATTGAACTCGTTAGCGACAATTTATTTATATATTAATATAATATATAAAAAAATTTATATCACAATTTACATTTATTATTAAATTTTGAACATTTTATTATAAAAATTATGAATAAAAGTAAATATAATTAATTTGTATATTAAAAAATATATAAAATATGTATAAAATTCAAGCCGAGCTCGAACTCGAGCTCAAGTTCGAGCCTTATGAGTTGAGCTTGAACTTGAATTTGAGCCTAACGAGCCGAGCTCGAACCACTATTTTAGTTCGAATTTTTAACAAGCTGAGCCAAGCCTGTACCGTTAGCAAGTTCGAGCCACTATTTTGGTTCGAATAACTGATACTCGAGCTCGCGGCTCGTTTAACAGCTCTACTTTACGTAATATATTTGGATTTATTCGTTGTGTTGTTTGGCTGAATCTGTCGAATTCAAAATAGGTCGTTGCTTGTAGCGAACGCGGGAGATTGCCGAGCTGTCCTGTCCCGTCGAGGCGTCGCAATCGAAATGTCCGAAGATCACAGGCCGTGTTGCACGAACGAAAAGATAAGAATCGAGTCGCTAGGCGGGTACGTCGACGATGGGTATTTGAACGGCCAATTGAACGTGACACGGGCTTTAGGCGATTGGCACATAAAGGGCCTGAAGGAATGGGGAAATGCCGGGCCTTTGAGCGCAGAGCCGGAGCTGAAACTTACGACATTGACGAACGAAGACGAGTTCTTGATAATCGGGAGCGACGGGATATGGGAGGTGTTCAGAAGCCAGAACGCCGTCGACTTTGCGAGGAGGAAACTTCAGGAGCACAACAATGTGAAGCTCTGCTGTAAGGAAATCATAATCGAAGCAAAAAAACGCGGGGCTATGGATAATCTGACGGTGGTCATCGTGTGTTTCAATTCCGAGCCACCGCCTCCTGCCGCCGCAGCGCCGAGGTCGCGCGTGAGAAGGTGCATATCGGCGGAAGGGCTGCAGAACCTCAAATCCGCGCTGCATTGTTGATTTTCTTGTTGTCGTTGTTGTTGTTGTCCGAGCTTTGGACATTGTCTCTTGACGGGTGATTTAAGGAGGTAATAATTCGAGCGCCGGAGGAGGATGTATATCGACGGATAGAATTGATCGGCGCATTCTTACTACATTTAAGGTATCCGTAGTTCGGTCGTTTGGTCGTTTCGATATGTCGAATGGAGACAAGAAATGTGTGTATACGTTACTTACATACATACATACATACACTGAATTCGATTGTTTGCCGTATGGCCAATTTTCTCAACCCATTTTTTTTATGGTTTCTACAACATCGTATGTATGTATGTATATACTTATGTTCTTACTGAGATCATTCTTTAGTACTAAGCCTACGAACAAAACAAGCAAGCATTGCAATATCACTTTTGGACATAAATATAGCTTTTATGATTGGATTACGTTTCTCTCACAAAATCTAACCCGTTGAGTAAGAATACAGTTGGATCCAGCTCTTGACCTTGTGGTTATGACTTCAAACTTTGTGACACCTTCAAATGGTACTTGCTATATATAATTTGTTTAATATTATTTGTTCTATCAGACTTAGTTTGAAAATTATTAGTTCGATCGAAATTTTATTTTTCAAGCCTATTTTTACAAGATATTAGGTTTTGATAGAATTTACTCAAAATATATTCGAAGTATAGTGGCTATGATAAAATAAAAATTAATAATAAATAAAACACAATTCGATCTTTTTCTCTCTAAATGTATTATATTTTTCAAAATATTGATAGATGGCATAAGTTTTTTTGCCCCACTCCAAAGGGTTTTTTTTAGAGTTTTATAATATATTATAATAGTATTTTATTGGTTAGAAGGGTTTTTTTTAGAGTTTTATAATATATTATAATAGTATTTTATTGGTCAGTAGAAGTGTGTAAGAAATTTTGATATATATCTTTTTTAATTTTATTTATAAATTAATTATATATGTAATAGTATATTTGTAATTTAGATAAAAAATAAGAGTAATAGAAAATGACACTTTAGAGTGAAACGGACGAAAATGGTAAAAATAGTATTTTGAGTTGGGACAAGAAAGTACGTTGTAACGTGCCCAGAAGCTAACACACCTGGCGGCTAGGCCACGCCCGCGCTGAGACCCACACCAGTTGTCTCATGTGCGCAACATGCCCTGGATATATTATAGAATATGGGAGAGTTATGCGGAACACGTACCTGCACCAAGACATATTCCATCAATCAGCCGTACATGATGAAACGCTCGCACATATAAGACGGATTATGGTCGAAAACTTGGGGCGGAAATATCATGTGACAATACTCCCCAACTTCAAGTCGCAATCGCTTTCATGCGACGCTACTCAAGTGCACCGACGTAGGCGTCAATCCGTTCCTACATACCTATATTTTTTGTGCTCACCAACCGCTAGCGAGGTTTCCCAAAGCTGATCCACAATTTGCCCACTCTTCCGCTCGTCTTCGCACACTGTCTGGGACACCATTTGTTGCGGCTTGCACATTTTTCGCCCGAAGATTGTCCTTAACGTGATTTTTCCCTTACGAACAAAGCTCGGCCACCATGGCTCACTGGCAATGTCGAGCGCACTCCCTCCCTCAAGGAGTACTCCCCTCTGGAATGTCTAGCTTTGTTAGGACATGCTCATCTCTGACGTGCCACCGGCAGGCTCTCCCGCAGAGCACTGCTCACTCGCTCGCTCGCTTCGTCACCAGCATCAAGGTCCACTCTGATAACATATGTAACATGCCTGGAAGCTTACACACCCGCCTTGAGGTCTAGACCAGCCGTCCTTTATGTGTTGGATTAAAAATCCAATTATGGGTTAAATGTAACTATTTTGGCTATCAGTTAGATTAAACCTATATTAAGTGATTTATAAATTTATTGGGCTTAAATGTAATCAGTAAGTACAGACCTCCTATGTTCAGAAACTCGGTAGCTTATTAATTGGGTGATAAGACCAATTAATAATAATGGATAGAAATTAAGGTTGTGATCCCAGGTCTAGGTGCAATATTCATTACTTTTCGTATCTCATTGTGGAAGTAACGACAGAAACCCTAGATGTTTTCTTAGGAGGGCTTGCATCATAAGCTTGAATAACACAAAACCCTCAATTCATTTTCAGATCTGAATCCGACAACGCTTTTGGAATCATGTCAGATTTATTTACTTTATTTTTTATCTCAATTATTTCAACACGACATATTATGGACTTATGATTTAATTCCTGATAAGTTCTAACAATTGGTATCAAAGCGGTTATGTGTTGAATTATTGAGATATTTGGTAAAATCAATTATGTTAAATTCTAATTGAATCGATTTGTGCACGAGTACATCATGATTTTCTATTTTGGATCAACTAATCTGACCGAATCCTTGGTATCCCAATTTGAGCAAGTGGTCAATATTAGTTATTTAATGAAATTCAATTACAATAAATTTGGTGGATATATGCAATCGTTTGTATGTCGTGCCTGTGGATTCTTTAGAATATACATAAAACAATTAGATATATATATACAGGCATGTTCGTGTACAATCGTATATATAACTGGATAAATCAAATTAGATATATTTTCGTTATATCTATGCACATCTATTTATTTATTAATGAATATATGATTGTTTGTACTTGTGTATAAATATTTTCGATTTTATTACATTGGAATTAATTTGCAAACATACATCACTTTAGTATCTGTCCGAAAATGTTTGCATGTATGTAAAATCACGATAATGTGTCCCCTAGTATTTGAAATCAAAGTCGATGATTTTGTATTAATTTATTTTGCTTATTGTGGATCCGTATTGTACTTTTTGTTTGAAAATCAGATGTAAACTGAGGGTTGTTATTTATTTATTTACTTTCTCCGTCCCACTTAAATTGCTCCTTTTAGCTTAGGCACAGAGTTTAAAGTATTGGATAATTAGTAAGTAATTAGAAAATATATTAGTAAAAATAATTATGATTTAATAAAAATAATTTTATATTAAGATTAAGATACTAAATAATTTAATTAAAATAAAAAATTATATATTATGAATTTTAAAATGTGATTAAAGTGTATAATTATATTTAAAAAAAGAAAATAATAAATTATGTGAGACAAACATAAATAGAAATAGTAGAAAAATTAAGTGAGACGGATAAAATATTTATTTACTTTGGGAGTAATTTTTTAAATAGAAATTATTTAGTCCACTGGTCATTTATTACACGCTATACAAATTTTCATCCGAATTAGTTTGATTATTTTATTAGAACAACAAAAGATTGGATTGGAAATTACACACAAATGAGTATATATAATCACATATACATGTCATATGTGTATTGAAATAGGATATGCGTTCATAAAGACACATTTATTTATTTATTTTTGTTAATATTTATGAATAATCAGAACTCTAGATTTGTTATGAGATGTTTTATGATACAATTGAAATTGTGAATCATCATGCATTTTTGACAATATGTGTTTGTTTAAATTCAACTATAATCATCATGCATTTGTGCATTCTCCAAAAACTCATCAGTCAAAAGCCTAATTCGAACAGTGACAATATCATTTATTAGATAAAGTCTGACATGGACTATACCCATTGCTGCAATTTGAGCAATAACAATGTCATTTATTAGATAAAGGATCGATACGGACTCTATTCATTGCTGCAATGATCCATTATAATCCGATCAATTCCAAGGTCAAACTGTTTAATTAAATAAGCAATTGTTGTTACAATTCATGATAATAAAACAATTGTTGCCATAATTTATGATAACTCACAAATCCGTCTATAAGAAATTGTTGTCATGATTTATGATGACAACAAACATAATGAGCGTTTGTTTAATTAAGCCACAAGTAATGCAATGTGATATCCGAATATTATGTCCCAAAATTGACAATCAACTCAATCAGTGAGTGATCGACAAAATTTTAATCTGAATGTAAATCACACTGCACATAATAATTTTACTTAATAAATCAAACCAAAATTCTCTCCAAAGATTGAGATCTAACCAAATTTGAATCGATAAAACGTCGAGATCAAAACCCAACAATAAAAAATCGACCCAATTTTTCCTGGTAATGGAAATGAATACTCATATTAGACAACCAAAAAAATAACACAACGAGCATTAAAAAATATTACCAAATCGATCAACAGAACAACCCAATCATTGAAACAAATATAAGCATACAATATTGGCCTAAAGAAAAGTCAGCGATTAAGTAGTTACATTCATGTTTAGTGACATTTAATGTGGTGATGATAATTTGGTTATTTGTGTGTGAATAATAGATTTTTTCAAAAACAGAATATTCTTTGAGAACTACTTTATTGTCAACATTTAATTATCAAAACAAGTTGAAAAAATTGTCCATATCTCCCTTGTGGTTTCGAAATTCAACGTAAATTCTCAATTTACTTTAAAAATTGCATAGCACCACATATAATTTAAAAAATATTGCAAGTTTATGAGCGCTTTTACCGAACAAGTTTATCACTGGTGAGTCGGTAATTTTTCCAAAGACAATTGTTGATGTTGTTTGATAACTTGTGATATTGTTGCTAGTTTATTTTATAAATTCACATACGGAACATTAAGCTGTTTATAGACATGTGCATTCAATTGCGTATACACATTGTTATTTTTATGGAATCAGATTCGTATGCATTGAAAGCAATTTTGATTCTAATTTGATTTTAAAAAATTGAAAAGTCTCGATAAGGTTGAATTGATTATAAAATGTATACTAAAAGGATTTGTTCATTCTCCAAAATCTCATCAGTCAAAAGTCTAATTCGAGCAATGACAATGTCCTTTATTAGATAAAGTTAACATGGACTACACCTATTAATGCAATTCGAGCAATAGCAATGTCATTTATTAGATAAAGGATCGACACAGACTTTATCCATTGCTGCAATGATTCATTATATTCTTTTCAATTACAAGGTCAAACTGTTTAATTAAACAAGCAATTGTTATTATAATTTATGATAATTCACAAATCCGTCTATAAGCAATTATTGCCATGATTTATGATAACATATAGAACGAACATTTGTTTAATTAAGCCACTAGCAATGCAATGGGATATCTGAACATTATGTCCCAAAATTGACAATGAATTCAATCAGTGAGTGAGCGACGAAGTTTTAATATGAATGTATATAACACACAATAATTTTACTTAATAAATCGAACCAAAATGCTCTCCAAAGATTGAGATCTAACTAGATTTGAATCAAGAAACGTCGAGATCAAAACCCAACAATGCAAAACCGACGCAATTTTTCTTGATAATAGGAATACACAATCATAG